CACACACACACACAGAGCAAACTTAATATATCCTGGTATAAACCAAGCACAAGAGAATCCTTGGGTATAGAATTAAAAAAATATAAAACTCTGAAGTTGTTCGCATACTACACAACATGCAGAATCTTGTCAGTGAATTCATAAAGACAGGATAGGGAAAGAAAATCTAGCTACAACCATGGGTTTAAAGAGGCATAGGCCCTAGTTTTAAGTAGTACTTAAGGAAGTTGTTAAAAAAACATATAGTATGGCTACTGATGACAAAGTGCGTTCCACACAGTAAAGCTACAGGTATGAGTTAAGAGTAGATGATTAGAAAATGGATGGGTAAAGTATCTAATCTGCAAGCTGCTCTCAGTTTAATAGGTATAAAAGAGCACATCCTTCCGTATCATACTGATATGGCTCTGTTTTAGAATCAAGAAGCACCTCTGTGGAAGAAAGATCTGTCATCGTTCAGAGATCTACTTAATTTTAGTGAAACTTTACCTAATATTTACATGTTTTTTGTTTTTGTTTTTTTTTTTATATTTAAATGTTTTAACTAAAATAAGCTAATTATTCTTAAGACTGGTGTTCCACCAGTAATACTAACAACATTTTATCAATGGATAATCTTTGTGTTTAAAGTTGGTACAAAAAGAATAAAGTTAATACTAATTTGAAAATAACTTTCCCTAGGCAGTTTGACACAAATCCAAGTTCCATTTTACTTGCACGAAAATGTTTTACGGCTTTGCTACTGTTGTTAGTTGTCTTGGAGTTAATTCTGACTCAGGACAATCCAAGTGAGCACAAAACTGCTCCACACCATTCTCAAGGTTCTGACTTTGTGAAAGCAAATTGCTAGGCTGTGTTTCAAGGTGCCTTTGAGTAGGTTTGGCTGCTAAACTTTTGGCTAGCAGCTGAATGCCTAACCTTTTGTGCCACGTAGCAACTTTCATTCACTCCGATAATCCATGACCTTATCTTCTCGGGTGAACCTGCCACTGACCGTCTAGGGGCTATTTCTGAGAACTATCGACACAGCATTTTTAAAATACTTCCCATGATACTACGAGGCAGAAACAATTTTCATTATTAGAAATTTTCACATAGAACAGTAAATATGGAATTATAAACCATCATTCCTTACTCCAATTTTTTCCTTGCTAGAATAACAGCACAATTACATTCTTTCTTACAAGCAAATATTTGAAGAAAACGTTCTCATTAAAACTTCTCTTCTCCAAAGCAAATACCGTTTCTTCATTTGCTTCCACTCTGCAGGGTTTCTAATCCAGTCTTCGTCATTCAAGCTGTCTCCCTACGAACACTACACTTCATGCTGTTTCTCTGAATGTGTGCTTCTATGTTACCACAGCATGAAAGTTTTAATCATTGTAGCAGCGTATACATAGCTTATTAAATTTATTCAACTGCAGAAGAACACTTCCCAAATGCCAGTCATACCATTCCTTGATGAAGTGAGTGATCCGAGAAAAGAATATAGCTTTTAAAAAGAGATTAAGGTTATTCAAGTTAAATAATTATTCCGTTCTACAGTTTTACCCTTCCTAAATAGAAGGGAATGAGAGTCATTTTAAAAGTAAATTGATAGAAATGGAAAATGATAATTTTTCCAAAAGTCTCGTGTTTTATCGTCCTTTTTTTAAAGGACCAGTCTAGTATTCTAGATACTCAAGTAAATTTCAAAAAAAAAGTTCATCCGATACTTAGGATAACTTATAAAACCTGCAACATTGATCACTCTTATGATTAACCCATGGTAGCGAAGGAAACTTTCCAGTAGTCACCAGATATAATAAAAGGTTTCACTATCAACAGTTCCTTGTTTCCAAAATCCACTTTTCACTTACCTGTATGGTCCCAAATAACACATCTAAGCCAACCAGACTACATCAAATGAAAGAATAGGATGGCAGAAACATACAAGTACTTATTTGTTTCTTCTTCCTTTTTTTTTTTTTTTGTTCAAGGACAGTTTGTTGGCCTTTAGGAGTGTTTTCTGGTCGAGTCTGATGGGGTGCCAATCCCTGGCCCCAAACTCTATTTTTGGTATTCCTAGGGGACTTCTTTGCTGAGTAATTGTTTCTATAGCTTAAACTGCTACCCAATTATGAATTACAAGTGAATTACATATATCATGCACAACAGAGGATAGCAAACAAGAGCTGGCAGGTCAAATCCAGCTCACAGTGGCCTGTCTGGATAAATCAAGCGTTACTGGAGCACAGCCATACTCATTTGTGCACACATTGCATCTGGCTGTTTTCAAGATATAAAGGCAAAGTCCAATACTTGTGAAAAAACTCATATAGCCTTCAAAGCCTAAAACGTTTACTATCTGGTCTCCTATAGAACACTTGCCAACCCCTAATCTAGGGGAATGAAATATTTGCTATGAAAGCAAAATTTGAAATAGGTAATAATAACCATACCTAGCTCAGGAATACATCAATATAAACACTGAAATATATTCATAGTTCTATATCCTACTTTTACATGAAGATTTGCTGCCCACAAAAGACAAAGCATTTACTTACCTGGTTGCTCATTGAGCTAATCAATCTTTAACACACATTTCTTTAGCACTCACTAGAGGGGTGTGAAGAATCGATGAATATCTTGCTCTGTTCAATTTAAGGTCAAAAGAAGCTGTTGCAGTAACTCAAAAATATATGATAAAGAAGCAATTCTATAGAACTTCTTAAAAATTTCCTTCACATTTTGGCTTTCAAATACAAAACATTTTTAAAGGCACTTAAAGGAAAGCTTAAGTTCAGCAATTTAGGTAATGCTGACTGGGTTAAATAATGCAGAATAATTTCTCTTTTGTGTTATATAACAACTTTGATTATGTACGTAGACTTGAAACAGAAAGATAATATTTCTACTCTAATTCAATCAGACATATTTTTAACATCAGGAAGTGACACTAGGATTTTTAAAGAGTAAAATTACAAAGTACTTTCAAACTAGAAGACGCTTAGCAGATCATCCCCACATTGTACAGATGAAAATTATTTCCTTACGGCATGAAATATCTCTGGCCAAACACCTACACTAGTGGAAAAGACAGACCTAGAACCCAACGCACAACTAATCGATTCCAAACGTTATACTTCATGATAGTTAGAAACGAAAGACTCAGATACGTTTGGAAAAGGGTAAGGTGATGTTGAAATATTCCAGAGTTTTCAAAGTCCAGTAAACAAACTTCCAGGGCTGTAAATCCACCCAACCCAGGCATTCTCTTATCGTTTTAAAAAATCAGCAACTGTAGAATTAAACAGAAGATTCATTGTAAAGCATTTCTTATTAGAATGATCACAGCAAAAGTCAATGAAATTGCTTCATAAGTTGTCGAGAATTAGAAAGAGAGTAATTCCGGTGAAGGTGCCCTCTGCTGGGGACTCAAGCACTCACCGCTAACTCAGTCCGAACTGCTGTACTAAATATTTCAAAGAACCTAAGAAGTCCTCACTGTTTAAAACAATAATTCCTTTTCCATTATATCTTAAGTAACTAGTCCCAATTGGAGTTAAAATTTTACATCAAAAATGTACACTCTATTGTTGATATTGTAAAAGATGAAAAACAACCTAAGAGAAATATCCAAAGAGACAGCTGGTAAAATTGCAATGCGTTAATACAAGGGAAATTTTAGTCAGTCATTAAAAATAAAACTTACATCTACAGAGCCATTAGCAGTGATAATGATACGATGTAAAATTATAAAAAGCAGGGTCCACAACTATATGGCCAATATAATCTCCAGTTTGCTATTACACATAACACATATATGCACTCATATAGCATAGACCAAGACTGAAAAGAAAGATAGCAAAAATATTAACAATTATTTCTGGTAGTGAGACTGCAATTCTTTATAATATTTAGTATTTCCCAAATATTTCTAATAATCATGTATTAGTTTTATATTCAGAAAACATTATTTTAAAAATTCATTCTGTAGTAATTTTGAAATTTCTATAGTCTGTAAAACAAAGAATAAATTCTAGAGTACTCAAAAGTATTTTTAAATTATGGGAAATCATTAATATGTAAGAGTTTAATTTCCACACATATAGGAGGATAATGCTTAATCAGAAAGGCAGTCAGTAACATTTTATCTCAATTCTTGAGTATAAAAAATGATATTTAATAAATAAAAAAGGCAAATCTTTAAATAAATGTGGTGCAAGGCATCTAAAAGTTGTGCTATTCCGACTTGTCACTGAAGATATGAAAGCTCTCCAATGTAATGTAGACACCCAGTGTTAGGCTAAAATAGCTACACTCTAGTACACGAGTGGAGGTCCCAATAATAACAAAACAAAACAAGCCACAGATTTTTTTCCAAAGTAAATAGGATTGTTCTATGCTAAAAGAAGAAAGTAATACAACACCATACCATTATTTTAGTTGGAAGAGCCGCACCAAAAAACTTAAAAAAAATTTTTTTTTAATGTAGAATTACAAGAAAATCCAGTGAGTTTTGTTTGTTGTTGTTAATGATTTCTTGCTAAATATTCAAGTAAAAGTATCAAATTGCAAGATGCACTGCAAATGCATAGCAGTTCTGATCTGCAATGAGCTGAAAAAACACTAAAAACATTTCTTCAATGTTTCCTCATTTGCAGACGATTGCCTCTCCAGCATGATCTTGGAAAGTATGGAACTACATGATATTCTTTTACCAATCTCCAATCGTGAATTTATATCCCATTACAATATAGCATTTGACACAAAGGGATGTCACACACTAAAAAGGCAAGCTATGTAATTTTAAATGCTACTTTATATATAATGCTATATAATGCTAATTTCTGTGATTAAAAGACATCACATAAATATGTAAAATATAAAATATATCCTAAAATATTTTTTACAGTATAGCAAGGGTTACCTTTTAACATAAAAATTCTGAAATGGAATAAAATTTTTAAAAAACCATTTTCATATATAGCACAGAGCAATAAGTTTAAATCAGACTATTTGGAGTTGTGTAGCCCTTTATTAGCAACTAAAATAGAAGGTATCTGTTGTACAACATGGGTAATAATCGACTGTAACTGGCAATTTATTATATTCTAATACAGATCACTTATAAATGCAATTTTTTATTAAAAAGCTTCCACCCTTTGTTTGTGTACAATTTGCAAAACTATTCTGAAAGCGGAATATATGTGCACAAGTCTGCAAAGAGTGCAAATTTAGGATATGGTAAATGCTTTGCAAGTTACTTTCAACAAACTGCCACAATTGGGCTTTTACACTGCCATATTTTTGACCAAAATATTTTGATGCCAGCCTTCCTTCCACTGCCCTAACAACAAAGCATCTTGAAAATGAGTTGAAATTAAGGAAGGACTACACCTACTAGAAAAGAAGAGAAGAAAGTTCTATTAGGTTGAGGTTTCAGAATCCCTCCAAACCAAGGACAGTGTCTCTGTAAGGGCCAGGCTGGGAGCCCAGGCAGGGTAGGAGCATGTGCAGGTGGCATCCCTGAGGAGTCAGAGCTTCAGTGCACTGTGAGTGCTCCGGCTGCGTAACTCACGGAACTGTCTTGCCAGCTTCGGCACTGGCTCGACTGGGCATAATTCAAAAAGGAAAAGCTCATATTCATTCCGTTCTTCTGGAGCTCCGTGATAGCCTGGAAAAAGAAAGCCCTGGTTATATCACACGCAAAAGCAAGCGCTTGTAAATGTGCTGGTGACCTGGCTGTCTACTTCGCTGATGACCCCTGGACCTCCTGCTACTTTTCACGCCTCCGTTTCCTGAATCTCTCGTATGAAACCGAAAACAGAAAATTCCCCGTATAATTCTTCCAGAGATTCTCTTAATCTGGTTTCCTGATTGCTGCCAGCCATCTTCTACTCTACCTCTCACTGTATTATTTAATAGAGCCAGTTTAAAATAAAATACCTCCAAATCAAGTATTGGACATTTTTGTCTCATTTGATATGTGGGACCTTTTGGTTTGATGTTTAAATGCATGTGAGTTATGACCCAGATCTAGGGGATATAAAAGAATTTTGGTTTCAATTGAGGGTTGGCTCACTGCCATTGAGTGGATTCTGACTCACAGCACCCCAGTAAGCTCCTTTGTATTTACAAGAGTGTAAATCTTTATAGTAGTAGAAAGCCTAATCTTTGTCCATATATGCTTGATACAATTGATGTACGGAATGTTATAAGAGCTGTAAGAGCCCCCAATAAAATGATTTAAAAATTTTAAAAAGAGAAGAAATTAAAAGAGCCTAATCTTCCTCCCGCGGTTTCAAACTACTGAACTTGCAGTTAGCAACCCAATGTTTAAAAAAGTAATACAGATAATTATATTTTAAATTTCAGAAACTGGTTCAAGTGTGTGACTGACTTTCTTTCCAGGTAATTAGTATTACTTATGCCAAAATCCTCCCTAAATTTCCACAACATGCTATCCTTCAAATCACAATGAACAGTACTGAATTTCAGGACCGTGACCTAGACTATGAAGGACGATATTGACTTCACCATTCTTTCTCCCCAACCACATGAGCCCACTTCCTTCTCTCATTGTTATACATAGATTTCTCTCTTTTTTCTTAAAAAGTCTCACATTGCAACTCAGAATATTGTTCTATGATAGGAAATATATTCCTTTCTCAAATTCAGCTGACAAAAAATCTGCTTCTTCAAAGAAACTATTAATATTTTTGTTTAAAGAGAAAAATATCTTGCTTTATGAGTTATAAACTTCTAATGTTCAAGTGATAAAATAATAATAATAAAATAAAGTTCAAGTGTTAAATGTTAATATTTGTCCTTCATACAGTCTAGCACACTAAATAAATAAATAATAAGACTCTTGAAGGGTCAATGTGGTTGTAAAATAATACACAAGAACTGGCTGTATTCTAAAGAACTCTATGTTTAACACAAAGTACTGAGCTATATTATTCTAATAACAAATAACTTTATTAAAATAATCAAAATAATAGAAATTATATTATCTTAAAAGGTACATTCAACCAGGGATAATAGGGCATCACTGTTGATAGCACTTAAGATATTTTTATCCATCACAAGATCAAATATAAAAGTCAAGAATTTGTAAGGATACTCACATTTAATAACACCCCAATGGGATGTCTTCCACATATTGTATTATGGTATTTCTTCAAGTAATTGCTAAAAGATACAGGGTCTAATTGTTCTATAATACTCATGCCCTACAAAAAAAAAAAAAGGACAAGACAGAAAAGGGTTACAAAATATTATTTGTTTTTACAAAATGTTATTTACTAATTTCATTTTTTAAATGTTATTTAGAGATAGATATAATTTTTCAATTAAGGAAAAGCAAAGAAAATAGGTTACGTAAACTGTGACATACCAAATTCATCCATCAAAAGTAATCTTAACTATTCAGCTCTCAATAATGCTCATGCTTCATAAAAAAACTTTGAATCCCAATTTACTTTTCTCTGACTTCCTGTTATATTTCTATAACATCTTACTAGTTGTCATTTAGTTTACAATCACTACATATTCTACTATTTCATTTTTCCTGACATGATGTTCACAAAGTAAAACTTTCATACAAATATTCATATGAAACCTGAAATTAAATGTGATTACTTATTGCTGTTTTTCTCTTTATCTATATTTCTCCCTATCATTGGCATGGATTATAAAAAGTGTACTGTAATTTAACAACAGCATTCAAACATTTCAAAATTATCTGCAATTATCGAAGAGCAATATAATACCACAAATTCAAAGGACATTAACATACTTTCAATTATTCTAAGGTTAATTGATATTGGCAAAGGCTTAAGAAACATGTCTTTTAGAAAAAGTTTTAAAAACATTAAAGTCTTTTATTTCTTTATTCTTTAAATAAGAACACATGATTTTCAAGATTTTAATTCAGAATCAAAATTCTAAATTCAACAATGACCTGGATACTCCAAACTCTGTACCCTCAAATGTATGTCAAACCATATAGTTGTAATTCCTTAATACATAGCAACTTTAAATCATCTGAATCAACCAGTGAACCAGCAATTCCTTACCTTGTTTGTTATTCCAATAAACACTTACTTAGATTGGTAACCTCGGTGAGAAATTTAAAAGGTGTTTTAACTAGGTACTTAACGGTTCTATTATATGTGGCTTTAGTTTTGTCCTTTGTGTTTTAATAAGATAAGCGCCTGTGGTAAACAAATGTGCACTATAATAAATGTGTTCTAAACTATGATCGGAATCAATAGGAGACATGCAAATTTTTCAGTGACAACTTCAGAATTTGATTTTACAAAGAATCCTTTTCCTTCAGAATATACAAGTGCTCATAAACATTATCACACTGTCTTACAACATATATCTGAAAGGTGGGCATATACCTGTATGGTCAAGTTTTCATAAAATAAACTCAGAATTAATTCTAACTTTCCCCCAAGTGCCTTCAAAACAACAAACTCTAAGTAGGCTTTCACAATCACCTGTCATTTTAAGTTTCACATTCACTAATTCGAACTCCATGAATTAAAATATGGCAATTAAAACTGCCTTGGAACTAAAAAGTACATGTTTCCATGTGTAGTGAAAAAGCTACCCTTGTGATACCTGGCTTCTGCTTCTGGGTTCCATCAGCATGTAAAATTTCCCATATAATTTTAAATAGCCCCCATGTTTATATTCTGACTGTACTACACACTAGTCTACAAAACACAAAGTTCTTGGCATTTGGGGAGCTTTAAAAACTCAACTGAGAAAAATAAATAAATAAATAGGTAGATAAATAAACTGAGTAATAATAGATTGCATCAAAAAATCCTTTCATCAAAGATGGTAGCAGCAATTACACAACTATGCTTGATCTAATTGAATTATGGATTGTTATAATACCTGTAAAAGCTCCTAATAAAATGATTTTTAAGTGTTATCAAAATAAAATATTTAAACAATAGCCTATTGAACTTACTATTTTCTGTGGAAGAAAACATTTCTCAACTACAGACTTCTAATAAGGATTAAAACCCAGGTATTGATTTTATTTTTACTTTAATATATCTAGAACCCTAGGTAACTATCATTTTTTCTCTTGTAAAATTTAATGAGTGACTTATGTTATTCAAATCTTCGTAAATCAGTTACACTAAAATGAAACTATTATTCTTCGCTGATAAAAATGCAGGTGCTGGGACTACATTTTGGTTGTTACTGCTGGTTGTCATCGAGCTGGCTCAGCTCTGACTCATGCGGTCAGCACACTACAGAATGAAATGCTGGCTTCACAATCACTGGTAGACTCGCCTATATTGTTCTGACCAGTACATGTGTATTCTCACTAAATTCCAACCTAAGGAGCATATTTCCTTGCATCATATCAGATAATTATCTATTCTGATTCGATTTTCATGGGTTAATTTTCAGAACTAGATGATCAGGCTTTCTTCCTCCACAACCAGCATTATCAATGCTTAGTTGATTTCCCTGTTAACCAAAAAGTAAGTTAAACCTAAAAAAAACAACCAATATAATTCAGATGTACAGAAATTCATCAAAAGAATAAAACAAACCAAAAAACCCAAAGAAACCTTGCCACTAAATTTCTAATCCTAGGCTCTCTTTCCCATTGACTACATAAAGAGTTGCAGTAGTGTTGATACCAACTCATGGGGATCCCCATGGGTGTCAGAATAGAAGTGTGATGAATGGTTTTCGATGGATGATTATCTGGAAGTAGACTGCCAGAATTCTTCCATAGCATATCTGGGCAGACCTGAAATTCTAACCTTTCAGACAAGATCAGACCTGTTCAGACTAGTATGGCCAAATTTCTAACCTTTCAGTTAGCAGCCAAGTTTGTTAACCATTTATAGAAGTGACTCCTCTGCTTTATTACAGTAGAATGAGTCATTCTGACAATTTTTTCAACATCATCACATAACACAGATATTTATACACACAATGAGCAAAAGAAATTTTGAGGCTTTTGAATGAAGTCCTACATAATAATAATAAACTGTGAAATTGAGGTTCTAATATCAAAATCAAAGGCCATTCTTACCAAAGTTACTATAATTCAATACCAATATATGATTTGAAACTGGAGAGTTAAAGAAAACTAATGATATTTGTAAAAAGAAATCCTAAAGAATTCAGACTAACTAGCTAAGAAACTTTTCTACTCAAAAATATATGAGCTTTCAAAAGGCTTGTGGAAAAATTTCATTATCTTTTAATTTCATTTTACCATGAGCTTTCTGAAGTTGTTAGACCTTTACACTTTTAAATGTAGAGAAGATACTCCGCTAAGGAATTCAGAAAATATATGAAAATAAGTGGGTTAAATTACAATAGAAAAACCTTAAATTTGAGGGATGTTAAGGAATTACTTTATTCATAATTTCATATGCTTATATTTTGATTGTTCACAGTTAATCTAAAACACGAAATCACTGCTCATTCAGTTCAAGATAATTCAAACTTTACAAGTCATATCTTTAATTTGTTAAAAAACACAATTCCATAGTTTATTATTTTTCTAGCACAAGAATCATTTCCATTACACTCAACTTTCTGACAAGCATGACATTTAAAGGGTATGCCACCATTTTTAAGGGGGAAAAGGAAAAAATAATGGCTTCTCTCATTAAGTAATCGTCTTCAAATGGACACCTAACTCATCATAAGTATGCAAATAAAAGCAGTAATGATAAAATTAGACTTGGACATCCATTTGCTACTACCGAATACTGACAATATGACTTTATATATTGCTATTTTTATAACAAATTATTATCACCAAAATCCTAAAACATTGGAAATGCTAGATAACACAATTGCCAACATTCCAAGCTATAAAATAAATTGTTTCTCTAAATATGCCTAATTAACTTTTCTTGTCAGAGTACAAAAAACAAGCAAATGAAAGCCTGACTAACTAGGGCCTGCTATATCAAGAATTATTTGTTCACCTGAACTTAAATCTATTATGAAACCATGAAATGGATTACTTCCCATTCAGAATTACGATACAATGCAGATTTAAGCATCAAAAGGTTATCAACCACAAGCTAGGTTTCTGAGAAACCTAGTCACCTCAATAAGAACTCCTCAAACTGAGTTAACTCCTCCTCAGTGGGGGAATCTATCAGTGTTCTGACTCTAGATAATAAGTAAATTTTGTGATCCCAAGTCCCATATGGCAATCCTAAATTGAATGAGCAGGGTTTTTTGTTTTTGAATGGGCAGTTTAACTGACAGAGCTGCAGAATCAGGACTGATAAAAGACAACAAAGATGAGTGAACATCTAATCTTTTTAAATGAGTGTTTATCTACTTATAATGAAACCTAATAACCTTTTCATTACAGAATTATTTTGTTTCCAAGACTCTAGAGATGTAATGGGACTTTTTGTATTTTGCTAATGAATGCATGCTCAATCGTTCAGTCTTTGTAAATTTTGTGGGGCTATGATGGATTTTGTGAAATATTAGGCCCCAACCGACATAGGTCCCGATGAACTATGGTGGTAGAACAGGTGAGATGAAGCCTGGGGAAAATCCCCTTGAACATTACCTAATCCAGAAGACCAAACCCTCCCAAGATCAGGGGAAATTATAGACTTGTAAGCTTTATCTTGCTAAACAGAGGCCCAAAGAAATAAAGGTTTTGTATAACCATTCCTCACACAATTATCTTCTCAACATGGCAGTAATTTTGATGTACTAATGTAACTGCCAACACTTACTATGAATGGGGGTGGGGTGGGGGGGAGATCTCTCCAAACACCCAGAAATGGAAAACATTAAGTTGTACTTAAATATACCATAATTTATTTAAAGGTTAACAAATTATGCAGAAGCTAAATGTTTCCTAAGGTGACAAATACAAAAGGTAGCAAGACCATCTGAGACCTTTAAGTATGAGAAACTAGAATCATGTATTTTAATTACTACAGCACAACTGATAACCTAAATGTTATGAATTCATTGAAATTCTTGTTCTTTTTAAGATGGATATTTCTGTCAGAGTGATGGGTATACAGTTAAAGAGTGAGGAAAGAAAATAGTCTCTCTTTAAGAGATACTAAAACAGAAAAAAATCCTATAAGCAGGGGTACTAAGGAGCAATATACTAACAATTATCTATCATTACCAAGAATGACTAAAAACCTACTAACAATCAGTAGTAGTTATTGGTCAAAGTTCAAGAGAA